ATATATATATATATATATATAGCTGCATCTGCGACACACAGGCGTTGGTAAGCAAATGAGTCGCTAATTCTTCCACACTGTCACCTAAGCTTTCTTGGCCCACTTATCTCCACCACTGCAATGGAGCACTGTACTCCCACGCCAATGGATCCACTTAATTATTGACTGCTCCACTTCAATCCATTTACATTATTTAACATTGGAAGGAGCACATTCAGTTTTATGTGTGGAATTAAAACAAAAGATGCATGGGTGTCTTAGTTGCCATTGGGGCCTGCTGAAAAGCATTTGGATTTGTTAATTACACCTAAATTTATTAAAATAGGTCATTTTGTAACATGCAGAGTGCAGCCTCTATATTTGAGCCCACATCCGATGCTATGGTTGACCTTTGATTTTAAACCAAGGTCAGAATGATTTTTTTTCTTTGAGGACCCGTTTTGCTCATCAGTAACATCTGTGGTTGTTTTGTTGTCAAACATTCCATTACAATTATCTGCCACATATTTTTGCTTGTTTTCAACCTGTTTGAGCAATCCTATTATTATTATCGGGATAATTATATTCATTTTTCTTAATATTCATAGTAAGGACGTAACAGGTTAGCGTTTACTGTACTTGTCACTATGGTAAGAAACAACTCAACTCAAACTCAACTCAAATGTATTTATAGAGCACTTTCAAACAAGCCACAAATTCGACGGTAATCTTAAATCACACAGCCCAATCCCTCGGCAGTAATTACCTTATGTTAGTAAGGTACATAAATATTAATGTCACAACAAAGAAGCCTCGTTGGACCAAGGTAAAATTAATTTAGTGTTTTTTTTTTTTCCCAAAACCTTTGCTTGAATTCGCAATTATGCGACCACATGTTCAGACCATCACTTTTTTGAGGATTTCTTTTTTTTTCTGTCCTTCGTGAGGATCAAGTGGTTCAGATAATGGACAGATGGATCAAATTCTCACTTGTTGCCTGTGAATTTGAGGGCGATACTTGCCAAATCGAAAATGGCATAAATCACAATGCACACTGCAGTGATGACTTTCATGCACAGGCTGGCATAGACTCTATAAATTATTTCATCTGCTCGCCTGTGCAATGGTGGTGGTATAAAAACACTTCTACTACTTAGCGCATTGTGCTAACACAGAGTTGCTGTTGTGTGGGTCAGTGGGGTTGTTTTAGGTGTGCGTGTGTATGCCGAGAGTTGCTAATGGATCATGTGTCCGTAATGCTTAAGAGAGTGTTGTTCCACTGGATTGTTTGCTCAGCTCTGGACAGTATGTGTGCATGTGTATGTGTGAGTGTGTGTGTTGGTGCACATGCATGTGTCCACTTTTCCCATGTCGCTGTACACTGTACGCCTGTCTTCCGCTTCTTTGGTTGCCGCAGACAACCATGTCCTTGGTAGCTTGCGATGGCGTCATTAAGACAGCTGGTTCGGGTGAAAGGGAACACATGCCACACTGGGGCTCCTTTCGAAATTATCTTGATAGTTTATATTTTCTGTGTGTGGACAGTTGGGTCAAATTTTGAGAGCAGTACAAAATCTTTGCAAATGCAAGAGAGAAAACAAAGTTATAAGAACATGTTTTTTCCCCACAGTTGTTTAGCCACTTCACAATCATCTTTGTGTTTGCACATTCAAAAAAAAGTACATCTCTCCCACTTGTCTAATATTGCCAAATTGTTGCTTTATTTGGTTTTGTTCAATCATGAAAGAATACCAAACAAATAACAGTCAAGCTAAATAATAGAGAAAATATTTTGGAATACATTTTAAGGGAGGAGGCATTGTGGAGAGACTCAGAACAGGCAGTACCTTGAAAGACAGACAGACAGACAGAGAGAGAGAGAGAGTGACAGAGAGAGAGAGAGAGAGAGAGAGAGAAAGGAGGGGGAGCGGGAGAGTGAGAGAGAGACCGAGAGAGAGAGAGAGAGAGAGAGAGAGAGCTTCAACCACCACCAATTTGTTTTAGTTGACAGTGAAATTGTCTCAGTGAATGTATCAACCATCCATTTCCTTTGTGAGACTGGCTCAGTGGTAAACATGTTAAAATACAAGTTGAGTTGGATCGTTGAACAAAACGGCCGCTACACCCCAGAGTTGTCTGGAGAGATAATCCCTTTTTTCTTTAAAAAGGCAAAGCTTTTGATGATATTTCCACCTTGAAAATCACCAGCACCAATCTAATGAATATACCAATTACAACCCCGTGTTCTTACACATTTAAAGAATGTTTTTTTTGCTCCAGGTGGCTGGGATGACCAGTGGTTAGCGCGTCGACCTCACAGTGCAGAGGTACCGGGTTCAATTCCAGCTCCGGCCTCCCTGTGTGGAGTTTGCATGTTCTCCCCAGGCCTGCGTGGGTTTTCTCCGGGTACTCCGGTTTCCTCCCACATTCCAAAAACATACATGGCTGGCTGATTGAACACTCTAAATTGTCCCTAGGTGTGAGTGTGAGTGCGGATAGTTGTTCGTGTCTGTATGCCCTGCGATTGGCAGGCAACCGGTTCAGGGTGTCCCTCGTCTACTGCCCAAAGACAGCTGGGTTAGGAAACTCCTAACCAACCTTTCCACCAGAAATTGTGGAAACCTAACAATTGAATCATATTCCCAGTTTACTGCATTTGAGATCTCAGTGGAAGGGTGTCAGAAAGTAGTGTTGTACTTTTTTTTTTTGGCTTTGCTCCGCTATTGACATAGAAATACAAAAAAACATTTCAGCACACCAAAGTGTAGAGACCTGCTTGATGGAAATCGGAGTGTTGCCTCAGTAAGTGATTTTGGCACATGCACAGGAGCCTGAACCTGAGGAAAGAAAAGACATCTGCAGTCCCCACAACTCTGAATGCAGAAATAAGACAGTTTCTCACCCTTTCCAAACAAGTGGTGTCTTGCAATCACTTTCTCGCTGAGGCAATGACTCCTTCCAAAGCTGGTGGTGAATCTGATTGAGGTAATTGTGAGAAATTGCTGGCCTTGGCAACACGAACAAATCCAAGTAGCTTCTTGACACACGCACACCCACAATGTTGCACAAAGGAAATTGGGGACAGAGAAATTACCCACCCTTACGGCGATACTGCTGTAATTTTCTCATCACCATGGCGACATTTTAGCATGTTGTGGTAGTACGAGGGGACAGTTATAATTACTTCCATCGGGGATCACAGCGGGTGTAGAGAGCTACAGGAGATGCATGAGAAAAGTGAGCATAGTGTAAAGATATTTAGTGGAGCTCTCAAAAAGACTTGATTGTTCTGCCGTCACAAACACAGCATTCTCGTCAACCAAATGAGTCCATAATGGAGGCATAATAGACTCTAAATGCATGGAATGATGACTGAGACTGTCATCTTCTCCACGCGGCCAATAATCCGAGGGACAGAAGAGTAAGCTGGTTTGTTCGTCACAGTCGCAGTATTGTATAGAGTACGCCGAGAAAAATAGGCAGGATGTGATTTGAGGCCGGGACCTACACATAAATCTACTAAACTGGAGTTTGAATATGTGCATTTGTATCCTGGTGTTTATTATCCCAGAGTCCCCTAGGCTTCTTGCAATATTA